TCAGGGAGGTTCTATGTTAAAACGGCAGTGTCTTGTCAACATTCATGGATGGGCCTGTGGCTAATGTGACATCACATTAGCACCAATGCTAAAAAATAGGCCATTGGGAGACACTGCTTATTATTTATGGGAATAAAAAAAAAAAGGTGTGGGTGGATTTTTTATCATTATAGGGTGGTTGTGTACATGCACTGCCAACACACATTTATGTCCAAACCTTACCAAGACCTTGCAAAAGGGAATTTTGCATAATAGGTTATTAGCTTTAACTTTTAATGTTTTGCTGTGCAACACAACAACCAATGTGAAGAAATGAAATTATGAAAACTGATGCAGCAAATTACATGTTAAAATTCTATAAATTATTTAGTTATTTTTTTAATTTTTATATTTATTCTTTAATACCAGCATTGGTAATAATATATGTTTTCATAGTTAATGGCAAATAATATATTAGCCACAGATATAGTGCAGCTCCTAATGAGATTTAATACAAAATTCTAAATGCCATTCTAAAGCTATGTCCATTTCAGACTCCTGTACTGTATTTAGTAACTGCGGTTGTCTGTTCATACAGTGGATGTTTTGACCTACGTGACCTGGAAGCTGAGCGGCCTGCCAAAGCACCGTGTCATCGGCAGCGGGACAAACCTGGACTCTGCTCGTTTCCGCTACATCATGGCTGAGAAACTGGGCATCCACTCCAGCAGCTTCAACGGCTACATCCTGGGAGAGCACGGAGACTCCAGCGGTGAGAAGGGGAGCCGCATGAAGAGGAAAATATGAGATAAGATGAAGGGTGTAGAGAGGCAAACAAGTAACCAGAGGAAGAGGATGAAGGGCTGCTAGAAAGAATAATAAGATGGATGAATGTGAACTCTGCTGCATGATGTGACACGGTTTCAGTCAGTCACAGCATATTTGATTTTTAAAAGTGCTGTTTTTGTGTTTAACAGTGCCTGTATGGAGTGGAGCAAATGTGGCTGGAGTGAGTCTGCAGAAACTCAACCCTGACATCGGTACAGATAAAGACAGCGAGAACTGGAAGGACGCTCACAAGATGGTTGTGGACAGGTAGGGCACTTTTTTTTTGTCTTTTGTCATGGGCTGTTTTCTGACTAATGGGCAATTGGGAATGTATATTAATACATTTTAGATGACCACAGTGCTGTTGAGAAGGTAAAATAAATTTCAGACAATTTTAATGTTCGAGCCCTTATGAAGATTTTTAAATTTTTTATTATTTGAACACAAAAGGTTTTGTTAAGTATTTCTTACACAAAACTTAAACCGTTTACACAAAGGGACCACATCTGTATAGTTCCAAAAAGCTGCGTCCGAGATCATGTACTTTCTAGTAGGTACTACGTTTAGTTTTAAACTTTAAAAAGTTGGTTCTATATACTATATCCACCATTTTGCCACTGTCACATGACCATCACAAATCCATGGCCTTATGGGATAGTAAAATGTTAATCAGATATGCACTTCAGAATCTTCATCTCATCCGGGTACTTTTCCCTCACTGTTTTCCAAATACTATGAATTTGGACATACTACTCCCCTCACATACTGCTTTTTTGCCTACTATATAGTAGGGATATTTGGACGCAGAGTTTGTATTCCAAATTTTCCTTTTGTGTTCAACAACAAAGAAAATGGCAGCTGCGAGGATTGAAACAGCATGACAGGCTTAAATAATGATGAAAAGTAAATCTCTATTCTTAATTAGTTGCTACTACCTTCTCTTAGTGCCTACGAAGTGATCAAGCTGAAGGGATACACTAACTGGGCCATCGGCCTCAGTGTGGCCGACCTGACCGAGACCCTGGTGAAGAACCTGAACAGGGTCCACCCTGTCTCCACCATGGTGAAGGTGAGAGGGGTTTACAGTTTAACATCATGGTAGAATCACAATCCTCCATGTCACAGAGCTGCACAGATGAAATGGGGGGGGGGAATATCCTTTTTTTTTTTTCTTTCTTTTTTTTTTTTATTAGTGATCATTTAATGTGTTTCCTATTGTGTCTTCTGCAGGGCATGTATGGTATTGGTGAGGAGGTGTACCTGAGCCTGCCCTGTGTGCTGAACAGCAGTGGAGTGGGCAGCGTCATCAACATGACCCTGAACAACGAAGAAATCGCTCAGCTGAAGAAGAGTGCCGACACTCTGTGGGGCATCCAGAAAGACCTGAAGGACCTGTAGATCAATCGCTGGACACCATGCACTCCTTTCCTTAACTGTTCACACTCCCTCTGTATCTTTACACACTCTTTATGTCGGTTCTTTCTTCTCACTTGCTTTTGGACGTGGTTGCTTTTAAGTATTTTTTCATGGTGGTTAATGTAGGCATAATGATCCAAAATGTGGAATGTTTCTTCTAAAGAGAATGATCAAAGGGAAAGATCTTTGGTTCTTCACATTTGCACTTGTTAAGCAAGTCATTCTGTGTGGGCAATGAAGAAAGAACCAACACCTCTCTTGTCTGGACATAATTTAGTGAGATCATTAGGGAAGGGATCATTTCTTGTGGCTTTCTGTTTAACTCAAGAGGAGAAGGGACTGAAGTGAAATAGATACAAATGTATTAATTCTTCTGAATCATGTTGTAAGTGTCGATCATATGAGTGTGTATAAGAAGTTAATAAAATTAATCCGTTCAAATCGTTCTGTTGGATATTTTTGTGATCTTCAAATATTTTGTACCTTTTGTGGTTAAAAAAATGTAATAAGTTGTATAGCTTGTTGGAATTTAAACTAAGTGTGGAAATTATACAATCATTTAAAAAAGAATTCTCTTGTAATTCATTTTTTTTTTTTATGTTGGCGCCATTTCACATTAAGCTAACCGTTTTGAAAACGATTTGGATTTTTTTTTTTTTTCAAAACTGATGTTTAATTATAGAAGTGGAAATTAAAGTATTTTTGTCAATGTTCTGTTCTGAATTGAACAAAAGTGATCTGCAGCAAACGGCCAGGTGAAAATACGCACTCTAAATACTTGTAAACCTAAAGCTGTTAATAAAATGTTTGAAACGCATTAAAAAGAATACCGATATGTAAGAATTCAACATTAAATAATTCAACTCTACCTAATTCGCACACTGTCAACAATCATAAATACATTTGATTTACTTAATAAAGCCATCAAACAATATAAAACGTTTATTGCACAAATACAATAACTGAATGAAACAAGTGCGCCATAAAATTCCTTGACTGAGAAATAAAAAAGCATAATAACAGGCAAGGCGAGCTTCAAACGCGCAAACCACATCCTCCCATCTGATGAAGACTGATAGAAGAGTGATTTTCAAGAAGTTTCTGATGGTTTTCTCAGGTAAAGCATGATTGGCAGCAGGTGCTCGTGTTTGGGTCTGTCAGTTGGCGCTTCATTTCGCTTCCCAAAGCGTAGCCCAAACGGGTTGTAGTTGAATTTACTGCGTGTTAATCGATGTTTGCAGGAAATATGTCTCGATTCGTCTTTTTCTTGGAAGAAAAGGCAAAGGTTTGCGTCGTCTGAAGCACTGGGCTCGTCAAACTGCCTCCGCTCCACTGAGAGATAGTCCTGCTTGGAGTCTGTAAAGTAAGATATGCTTTTCAGAGCACTCTTTAGCAAGCTTTTATTTGATTTATTTATCAGGCATTTCGATTGCAAAGCATCACCTTACCTGGAACAGGCTCCGATGTATCCATGTCAGTGAATGGTGCTCTCATAGCAGTGGACTGACAGATCATCGCAGACATGAAGAGAATCAGTGCCTTGATTTTCATACTGCTGAATTGTAAAGCTTATGGAGCACAGCTGAGCCTTTATCTCTTCAGTGAACAACCCATGCTCTGCTGTCCTGCTTCAATATAAAGCTTGGCTAGTGACACCCTCTGACCTTATTTTACATGTATGACTGTCTGTGGCAAATAGGACCTCCCTGTAGCCTCATCCAGAGCATTTTAACTGTTCAAATGTTATATATTTTTCTTGTAAATCCTGTGGTAAATTGTACACCGAAATCCACTGTGATTATTCAGATAGCTGCTGAAGTGCTGCAAAACCCACCAAAAGCACATTATGTGTGTTTTTATACACATCACACATTTTAATTTGAGTTTTCTCTCATTTGTTGCAAGGGAAAACATGATATGAAAGTAAAATAAGGGCTTGTAGCAGGAAATCATGAATGAAGCCACTTTAATGGTGCTCAATCATGGTCATTTTCAGTGCCTTGTGGAAAAATATAGTAAGCTTTCATTGTCATCTTGTTTTCAGCATGGTAATACGATCATGCCTGGATATCATAACAACAAGATAATATTCCTGCATAATGAGACAACATTATCTTACATGGTGTGAATATGAATTATGCAAATGTAGGATGGTTTTTGGTACAGCACATTTGCGATGGTGCACTTATAAAAGCTTTTTACCCTCAGCCTTCAAGTTTTATATTTTTATTTTTTGTGATGCAACAAACATCCTAAACGTAAAATTACATAATTTTTCATTATTAATGATACAACTTGATCTATCTATCTATCTTCACCTGTCGGCATTGTTTTGGTTGTCTGTGGCATTTTAATTTTTAATAAATAATCCCACATTTTATACCCATAGAGCTTAATTCAGAATTTTGTATATGAACTTTAATGGACTCCAACATAGACTCAGAACTCTCCTGTAGAAAGCACTTTTTCTCCATAAAAATAAATAACAAATGTTGTAGTTCAGCAGTTAAATGTCAAACACACATAGACGTGTGTCATAACTCATTACCTTTTCTCTTTAATTGTCATCATTTTTTATTTTATTTTTTATGTATTTAGTTTTTGACAATAGGAATACTGATGTGAAAAAAAATTATCCATTCATGATAAACCCATTGGGATATGCTATTTGTTTTATAGAAGTATTAGATATATAAAAAGAGGATTATTACCGTATGTGGTCCCGGTCAGAGGGGTTCGCTAGCAGCGGCCAAATCTTTCACCTTGATGTCTGTGGACTTCAGACACGCAATCATAGTGCGCACATGCAGGTTTTTTCTTTTACTTTACTAAAGGTTAGAGGAAGAGATCGAGCAACAGCTCACAGTGTCCAGGACATCCAGGCGCTCCATTACCTAGAAGAGACCTCTTGGTGGCTGTTGATTTTAGGTTCTTTACTTTTTCCACAATAATAGTAATTCGGCCCATTTCACATTTGCAACTTCAATTGACAGATAAAAACTATTTGTAAGACTTTGTGAGATGCGACTGTCCAGATCTTTGTCAATATCGTCATTAAGTGGACTTCCACTATGGGAAGAGGAAAGTCTACCTGTGCAAGATCTCTTGCTTTTTGAGGTCTCGTGGGAAGTCACCAATAAGGGTAAGAACTTGCAACGCTTTCTGTTTTCAGTGTGTTACAAGTTTTAATTTATGTAATTTCGTTTTATTGTGCATCATTTCCAAATTTTGTCAAATTATGCAAAATATATGAAAATAATATTTGATCGTAGGCCATTTTATTCTATAATTATTCAAATTAATATTCTAATTTACAACAAAAGATATGTTCATCTTCCGATTGGATTGTGGGCTATATTATATATCTATATAAATTATATATACATTTTATATTATACATCTATATAAAGTACGTGTGTGACAATTTTTTCTAAAGGTATGAAAATAATATTTGATTGTATTCAAAACATAAAATGCTAGGAATGAGATTAGCTTTTGCCAGAGAAATACACCTAGGCCATTTTATTCCATATATATTAAAGGTACATTTCTATCACTTTTTAGATGTGCTGGAAATTACATCTAATGTAATTTGATCATGATGGTTCAGAAGAGGAAAAACCTGACGCTTATGTCCATTGTCCACAAATTAAAACCTTGTCTAAAAGTACATTAGGCCAAAAGTGCCTATAACTGTAAAATCACTAAATTTATTTAGTAACTTTAGCAAGAAGGTAGTTGTGAGTTTGACCCCTGAAAGTGCATTTGACCTCAAGACTGTTCACCCTATTATCAGAAGGCTTGAAAGTAGTTTAACAAGACAGAGCTGTCATTTAGTCAAATGTGTTCATGTGTGCAGAATTCATACACTCTTGTATCAGTGGGGCTGTATAGCAGGTTAAACATTAAACTCCAGATCAATAGCCAGATTCTTGAGACCTAAATCTAGTGGAATATTTTAGAAGATAACAATTGATGTGTGTTTGTGGGTATGTTATTTGTCATTTATTTGTGGTTGTTATTTATCATATTAAATGTAATCTTGATGTTACAAAATTGCTTTTGAAACTACATGATGTCCAAATTAATACTTTTAAGTTTTACTTTGAACAATGTTCTTATTTTGTTTATCTTCTCTGTTTCTCATTTACAAATGTTTTATTCCCTGCACAACTGTGTGTCTGTCTCCAGTTGGGGGTATATACACTGTTATTCAGACTAAAGCAAAGATCACAGTGGACGAATGGGGAGAGAACTACATCATGATGGGACCCTACTACGAACACAACTTCAAGACCCAGGTGGAGAAATGTGAACCCCCAAACCAAGCCATCAAAGCTGCCATGGATTCCTTGAATAACAACGGTTCCCAGGTATTGAAAACATGGTTATTGGTGATGTCCGATTACAAGGTCTGCATCTTATGACATGGTATGATCAGGTAGACCTTATATGATCAGGTTCATTGAGGCTAGTTAGTCATTTGAGCAGTTAAAAAAATGCTTCGAAGCTGGCAAAAACTTCTGGCATTGACATGCCTGCTGTATCAGCATCAGATGGTAGTATAAAGACTAGACAGAAAATAAAGCTGCCTTTTTTTCTCTTGGTCTCATTTTGACCAGATCAATGTTACAAAATCTTACAATTTAAAAGACATACAATACAACATCATATTTTTTGCTATTTATTTTTTGCTATTTAAAGTGTGTCCCACAGAAATCAGTCAAGTTGGTTGGTGTAGTGAACACTTATTAGAGATGGAACTGAGCATGCAGTGATAATTGGGCCTGGTGTAGGGAGCATAAAGGTCATCATGCCTGAAGGTTGCAGGAGTTGATTGAAGAGTAATTGACAGCAACTTATGATTTACCGGCTGATGCGATTGCCTTCTTGTCCCACAGAGACTTCCTTCAGCTGCTGATGAGGGGAAGCTCTGAGACTTTTGATTTGTAAATCAAATTAATTTTGGACTCTGCACAACATTAATCCATATAGTCTTCCCCTGCAAACCTCATTTTATTATCTATTTCATGCAGTTTAACATAGACCGAGAGGCGGGACAGAGACAGATCTACCATCGGTACTGTTTGGAGAGAGCTGCAGTACGCTGTGCACATGTCTTCACCACCGTGTCCCAGATCACAGCTGTGGAGGCCAATCATATGCTCCAAAGACAACCAGGTTTCACCTGCGTTACAAAGCACCTCATCTACTCTTATTGGCTTCTGAATATATTAGGTTAAAAAGATCATGTTTATATTTATGGCCTTTGCAGATGTCATCACCCCAAACGGCCTGAATGTTAGGAAGTTCTCAGCCATGCATGAGTTCCAGAACCTGCACTCCATGAACAAAGCCAAGATCCAGGAGTTCGTTAGGGGTCACTTCTACGGGTTAGAGCTCTCTCTGTCTGTACAATAACACACACTTGTGCACTTCCAAAAAAATACTACTTGAAATAAAAAAAAATAAAAAAATTCTCATTGGCAGCCATCTGGACTTCGATCTGGAAAAGACCCTGTTCTTTTTCATCGCAGGACGATATGAGTTTTCGAATAAAGGAGCAGACCTGTTCCTCGAGTCCCTGTCCAGATTAAACTACTTGCTAAGGGTATGAACAGTCACACTACTGTACTTTAGAAAACACTTAATAGTCTAATAATTAATAATCTAGCACCAATCAAAGTAAAGATGTTAATTTCTGATTGTGTGTTTGTGTTCATGCTGACTGACAGGTTCATAAGAGTGATGTTACAGTGGTTGTGTTTTTCATCATGCCTGCCAAAACCAAGAGTCTCTTAAAGGACAGGCTGTACGCAAGCAGCTGTGGTGCGTAACTGCTTAAGTGCATAACCTTTGACATTACAAGTCTCCAGGGTATTAATGAAATATTTTTTGTACCTTTTTATATGTACAACAATAATAACAAAAATATAAAAAGAAAAATAATTGATATGTTATCAAATGAATACAATATATTTTTTTATGTTTTGGAGGAACAAAATAATAATAATATTATATACACACACACAAAAACAATAAAATGTGCATTATTATTATTATTATGTACCTCAAAAACATTTTTAATAATAATATATATAACTAATAATATTATTATTTCTTGTAGCTTATAACACTAGTAGAGCCCTGATACTGGACCAACTTTCCATAGCTATACTAATATTATTTATTAGGCAATGAAAGGAAGCCCCGATCCAGAAATGGCTCTTATTTTTAGATGGCTTTAGTGTGTAAGACTTCTCAAATATGTCTTTCATCTGTCTCTTAGGGACACAGCTCAGTTCGTGAAGGAGAAATTTGGCAAAAGGCTTTATGAGAGCTTGTTAAGGTTGGTGATTTTCCTCATACAGACCTGTCATAACGGGGCTCAAAATTGATGTGACAGTGAATGTTGTCAGTATATGCTGATGAACAGGAAGTATGACGATCTTAAATTTGATGTCTTAAATTGGAGTGACTGTGTAAGTTGTGTAACCTTCAAGTGTTGATAATTCACAGCGTTATCCAGGTGTTGATGAGAGTGCGCTGCACTTCCCCAGGGAGTTGTCAGATTATAGGATATTCATAATGACATTGTGTGATGTCAATGGGTCATTTCTTATGAGATGAGGCTTGAGTTTATTTTCAGATAGGATCTCCTCTAATAATGCTCTCCTGCGTTAACAGGGGTGAGATCCCAGACATGAGCAAAATCCTGGACAGAGATGATTTCACAATCATGAAGAGGGCCATTTATGCAACACAGGTTAGACAAAATGTTACACAATTCTTACATCACAAGAGGCCATATTTAAAAATTTACCTAATGAATCCCTGTCCTTTAACTGTATTATTGTGCTTTAAATGTATCACTGTACTGATATTTCTAAAACATTCTGGTTAGGGGTTTATTATTTATTTGGGGAGTATTACACTTCTGCAAATAATTCTGTGTCCAGACTCCAGTTTTGTATTTAAAAAGAAAAGCTGTGCTGTTTGTTTGTTTTAATTATGGTATAAAATAGAAATAGAAAATGTTTTAAATGTAAAGCTTTTCAATTTAATAGACATATTTAAAACGTATTACATCTGAACTGTTCAAAGACATTTTTAAAAGAGAAGCAATTTGTAATTGCAATATCCTGGACAGAGATGATTTCACAATCATGAAGAGGGCCATTTATGCAACACAGGTTAGACAAAATGTTACACAATTCTTACATCACAAGAGGCCATATTTAAAAATTTACCTAATGAATCCCTGTCCTTTAACTGTATTATTGTGCTTTAAATGTATCACTGTACTGATATTTCTAAAACATTCTGGTTAGGGGTTTATTATTTATTTGGGGAGTATTACACTTCTGCAAATAATTCTGTGTCCAGACTCCAGTTTTGTATTAAAAAAGAAAAGCTGTGCTGTTTGTTTGTTTTAATTATGGTATAAAATAGAAATAGAAAAATTTTAAAATGTAAAGCTTTTCAATTTAATAGACATATTTAAAACGTATTACATCTGAACTGTTCAAAGACATTTTTAAAAGAGAAGCAATTTGTAATTGCAATAAAAAAAAAAAAAGCATTTCGCCGGGAGATTGATTGACAGGCGATCTGACCAATCATAACAACGAATCTGCCATTTTGTCCAATGAACAAACCAGACAGGAGAGTAGATTAATGTCGGAGGACTTGAACTTAAAAAAATGGTGTGTAGTTTACGTCTTTTTGTGGTTGAATCAAGATACCTTCTGATGTTCATTCATGTTTATTTTGTGCTATAACCAGTAAAGAGATGACCGGTTAACGTGCCGCCTGAACTGAGGCGCTACAGCAATCTGTCATGACACATTAAAGAGCCTATTTATTGTTTGAATTTCTTATGAAATTTAAATAACCTGCTCTGTTAATTGATTTATTAGTGGTTACATTTAACTACATTTTTCAACATGAATTAAATAAACAGTTTTAAATGGGTTTTTATTTGTCATTTTTATTTTTAAATTAGTACATTAATATATTTTTTGTAACCCCTTTATTATCCCTTTTGTACTAAACTTAACATACTATCTAGTTTTTATTTAATGTGTAAATTACAATCTAGTTAATTTTTTATTTTTTTTTATCAACATCTCTTCAGGGCTGTAAAGAGATGACCGGTTAACGTGCCGCCTGAACTGAGGCGCTACAGCAATCTGTCACAACACATTAAAGAGCCTATTTATTGTTTGAATTTCTTATGAAATTTAAATAACCTGCTCTGTTAATTGATTTATTAGTGGTTACATTTAACTACATTTTTCAACATGAATTAAATAAACTGTTTTAAATGGGTTTTTATTTGTCATTTTTATTTTTAAATTAGTACATTAATATATTTTTTGTAACCCCTTTATTATCCCTTTTGTACTAAACTTAACATACTATCTAGTTTTTATTTAATGTGTAAATTACAATCTAGTTAATTTTTTATTTTTTTTTGTCAACATCTCTTCAGGGCTGACGTGGCCTAATGGTTAGAGAGTCGGATTTGTAAACTAAAGGTCACTGGTTTGAGTTTTGGTACCGGCAGGGATTGTAGGTGGGAGGAGTGAATGTACAGCGCTCTCTTCAACCCTCAATACCACGACTGAGGTGAGACCCTTGAGCAAGGCACCGAACCACCAACTGCTCTCCGCGCTGCAGCAATATGACTGCTCGCTGCTCCGGGCGTGTGTTCACAATGTGTGTGTGTTCACTACTCACTGCTGTGTGTGTGCACTTGGATGGGTTAAATGCAGAGCACAAATGTGACCCTGGACCACAAAACCAGTCATTAGGGTAAATTTTTTGAAATTGAGATTTATACATCATGTGCTGAATAAATAAGCTTTCCATTGATGTATGGTTTGTTAGGATAGGACAATATTTGGCCGAGATACAACTATTTGAAAATCTGGAATCTGAGGGTGCAAAAAAATCCAAATATTGAGAAAATCGCCTTTAAAGTTGTCCAAATGAAGTTCTTAGCAATGCATATTACTAATCAAAAATTAAGTTTTGATATATTTACGGTAGGAAATTTACAAAATATCTTCATGGAACATGATCTTTAATTAATATCCTAATGATTTTTGGCATAAAAGAAAAATCGATAATTTTGACTCGTACAATTTTTTTGGCTATTGATATACCCAAGCGACTTAAGATTGGTATTGTGGTCCAGGGTCACAAATTCCAAGTATGGGACACCATACTTAGCTACACGATATGGGCATGAAGATGGATATCTCAGAACTAATAAATGAGCATTCTCAGGGGGTTTTCATTCATTCCCCTGCATGTTTTTTTATGAATGGACTCTAATCAAAGGTCAGACTTAGGTTATAGTGAATATTGACATGCTACGCCTCTGTAAATCTCAGGTGGAAACCCATGCATCGCTCCGCTTGATTACTTGCGTTACAGAGCTTAGTGACACATTTAACCACGTTTCCTGACTGTCTGCATTCGATCAATTTAATGTGTTACTGAGATTTATTCTACAGCTTTTTAATGGCAGTGTTATGAGCAGCCAGTCAATATACAGCCACTCCAGTTAGATTTATCTGGGTATCAATATTTCGGGGAAGAGATATTGATCTGTTAGCATTGGTGTTTGTTTATAAGAAGGAATGAGAGTAAGAAATGTGTCTAATATTTCTAGGGCTAAAGTCCATTTACTTTTTTCATATGAGTGACCTAGACTCTGGAATTTAATAGCAAAAATAATGTATAGAAAGCATTAAAATTGTGCAAGCAGAAGCAGAGCAGGCAGACAATTTTTATAGTAAGATTATGATTTATTATTCTTATTGAAATGAAATGGAATGGAAATACATGATTAAACTTTGATCCTCACGATTTTTCACTTAAGGACTGCTTATGGATTGCTGTTTTTATTATTCCAGTTTTCAGTACA